AGAGGAGTAAAGGACACTTGCATAGGTACAAGCGGGTGGGAGAGCTGCCCCGAAGGGGACAGGTTTGCTGAGAGGGGCCTGCGGGTCACAGGCAGGCGGCCTTGGGAGAGCGGCCTCGCCTGAGGGGGTCAGTGCAGGGAGGTCCACCACACATCACAGGCAGGGGGAGGCTGCTGCCCTGTGGAGGGAGTGTGGGTAGAAAGGAGCACCTGCCTAGACTCAGGTGGGCATGACGGTGCCCCGTGCAGGTGCAGAGCTTCCTGATACAGACAGCTTCTGTCTGGGAGGGCTCACTCCTCCGGAGCCTGGGTTTGGTGACTTTGAAGAGAATCCGAAAGGGACAGGAGACCCCACATGGGCTTTATTGCCCTATCTCTGTCTTCCCCTTTTGGGTCTGTGGTAGACACAGCCTCCAGCCGCCTGCTGCCTGCTTTCATCTTCTGTTTTGTACAGTGCGCTGGCGCCTGAGGATCTCGGTTCCTACAGCTGGGTCCATGACTGTGCCCATCCCTTCTGCCCCGGACTCCTTGTGTGAGTCAGCCTTGTGATGCCTCCTTACTATTACTTCCTCCATCACGACAATTCTACAGATTTTGTTAGAAAAGCAAAGATGGGCCTTCCCTGGTGGCGCAACGGGTTAGAGCACAGCACTGTGAAGCTGGCCATGGCAGCTTCAGTGCAAGTTTGATCCCCCGCCCCAGAGGTGACCCACAGGGCACAGCAGACCTCTCCTGACCCGCCCGCTGCTCCCCTCAGCGGTGCACTTTGTCGATCGGCCTGTTCTGCTCCCCGCCCTGTCTCTGGCCAATCCTCTCACGGCCCCTGCACCTCTGGCCTATACCCCACAGAAGGATGGTTTCACTGTGGCTTTATGGGAAAAAAGCTGGTTAGCATTAATAAGAGCAAACTGCTTGGCTTTGTATCGCTGTTTACTGGTTCTCCTTAGAAGGCTGAAAAGGGAATGGATTGATTCTGTCCTTTCCTGAAAGTACATAAACAGTTATTGGCTCCATATTTTTAAAAAGTTTCATTTGGCCCAGTTCAAATGAAATGCGTAATGGCGCCCTAGATGTCAACTTTTCAGAGACTGTATTTGAGGGGAGATGAGCTGAGGTAGAGACCCCAAGGGCCACCCCTGGTCGGCCTCAGGCCAAGCGCTGCTCACTGTGAGGTTTACAGCCAGCGCTGGCTCTCAGCAGACAGGCTGCGAAGGCCCCGCGCCCGGGGGAGGGGCAGGGCCGCGGTGCGTCAGCACATTTCTCTAGATCAAAATAACAAACTGTTCCAGGAACCTTGGATCCCAGGGTGGGGCTGGGTGTTTGGGTGTTGAGGGACCGTCCCGCTGGGTGACTGGGCTCGCGGTGGAAGGGGAAAGGGACCCTTTGGCAGCCTCAGGGTTCAGGCAGGATCTGGGCTCCAGGTGCTTTCTCCTGGTAAAGACCGCCTCCCCTTCTTTCAGATTCCAGCTCAGCAGTGTCCAGTCCCCTCACACACCCACCCAGGGAAAAACGCAGCTTTCCCACAGGGACCCCTGGAAAGGAGGAAAAAGCTGCCATGGCAGCTTCCCACCAAGGGCAGCACTGCCACCCCCAGAGAATGTGCCCTCCCCAACCCCCCCAGTTACCCAGCAAGCCTCCTGGGTCACCTTGGGCTCCCCACTCATAGGAGACCCTCTGTGGTGCCAGTTCCCTCAGACCGCCGGCCCGGCCGCGGGTGGGGCTGGGAAGGAGAATGCACAGTCACCAGCGCTGGCCCCGAGCCCTTCCTGCCTGCTTGCCTCACAGTGGCCCAGCAGGAACAAGGACACCCGCCCAGCCCCCACTGGCCTCTCCTGCCCTGTGGGGGAGTTCAGCATGACCCAGGACACGCCCTGGACCTCCCACTTCATTATTCAATGTTCAGGAACATGGATCTGCCTTGAAGGCTGGTCACTGGGTGGCTGCCCCTCAGCTCCTGCAGACCACTGCCCACCACCTCACACCCTCTAGGGAGGAGTTTCTTTGTCCCGTTCTCTGGACTCTGCATCCCTCTGTCCCTGCCACGTCGCAGGCCTTAGTACATGTGTTGACCAAACAGCCAATGTTTATGCCACGCTGGGAGGGAGGCCTGTGGCATAAATGTCTGTGGTATTTGTGCCTGACTGGAGGAAGGAGTTTCCAGATTGGTGGCAGCCCTTCAGGTCTCAGGGCCCGTCCAGCCCTAGCTCCCAGGTCTGGGGGGGCAGGAGGTGGGGTGGGGTGTTCCCTGAGGCCCTGGGACAAAGGCTGCAGGACACAGCCCAGACAGAACGTGGGGTGGCGGCGCCCAGACTGTCGAACAAGACAGACGAAGACTGGTACTTCACGCGCTGGTTTTCTGGGACCCGGTGGGCCCAAAGGAGGGAGGGGGGCAGGGAGGACATCCTGGGTCAGGGCTGGTTCCTCGGCCCTTTGAGGAGGGGCTCAGGGCCGTGGACTCTCGGTTTTTGGTGTCGTTCCCAGCTACTGCTGGCAGCTCGGACAAGGGTCCCCACCTCCTAGGTCAGGACTCGAGGCCTCCAGGAAACTGTCCCTGCTTGCGGATCTCGGAGACTGCGCCACATACACTCTTGGCATCGGGGCCTGGATGCCCCAGCCCTACTGACCGCCCCCCCACCCCTTCCCAGAGCCTTGTCCAGTTGGCCCCTGCCTGAAACGCTTCCTGTTCTACCAACTTCACAGGCTCAGTGTCACCACGCTGTGTCCTGGAGACACCCCTCCCTAAATGCTCGTGGGGCCCCCTTTCCCGGCAGCAGAACGGCCGGTAGAATCAGAGCCGTGAGCCCACAAACCTGGCCTCTCCGGTCCACTGCCGTGATCTGCCGGCGGCCCCCCCAGCACTCCCAGCTTCCGGAGCCCCCACCCTTGGAGTTGGCTGGCATTACCAGCTCTCCTCAGCCCCACCCCTCAGGCACCTGATGGGTTCCCGCTGCTCCGGTAGGGGCGGCCAAGGCTGACATCCTGTACCCTCCCCCTTCCCCAGGGTCTGCCAGCAGCCCTCAGCCATTGTGTCCTTGCCAACAGGCATGCCCTTGGCCCAGTCACCACAGCGGGGTCCTGGAGCCGGCCGGCCCTCGACTTCCGCAGGAGAGGCTGCAGGCTGCCTGCTGCCGCAGAGCCCGGGAGCTGGGTCCTGGCCCGGCAGCTGCTGACCTCGCGGCTGGAGGGTAGGGGGCAGGCTTTGGCTGGCCCAGAGCGTTGGCAATCACACCACCCCTCCCCTCGCCTAGCACCAAGGTCATATGGGCAGGGACACACAGGTCTGGACAGAGCTGGGGCCATTACTTCCCTCTCTTGCAAGTCATACTGTAGACAGGGCCAGGGCTCTGGCACACATGCCCACTCCCACCCTGAGCAAGCGCCCTGGCCCCTGACCCCCCCCCCCTGCGCCCGTGCAGGGCCCAGCACGGGTGGGGTCGGAGGCCAAGGGTGTCAGCCCCTGGGCCGGGAGCGGGAGGCCCCAGGGTGTGCCCACCGCACAGTTCCCAGTCTTAGTTTGAACTACTGTGACTCAGTTACGTTACCCAGAAAAACAAAATAAATTTCCAAACAGGATCTGTTTTGCAGCCATGGACCCTAATCTTTGGAAAACGTGGGTCCCACCACCAGTGGGGAACCTCGCTGAGACCCTTCCCCTAACATGGACGGCAGGGAGGTGCGGCCGTCAGGAGCCAGGGCGCCGGCTCCGAATGGGAGTGGGCACGCGCGCCAGAGCCCTGGCCTCGGCCTCGAATTCCAGGCTGCTGAATCAGGGTGGGCGGCGCCTGCGCTGAGCCGTCGCAAAGGGCGGGCTCAGCTGCCCCCTGCTGGCGACAGCTGGAGTAGCGACCGGGCTGTGATGCCCGCGGATTCTCGTCCAGACACCCCACGCCCAGGCCACCAAGCTGTCGGCCTGCTGGGCCAAAGCACGCAGCTAGTCATGGGGAACCAACTTCCCTCTTAAAACTGAAGTCCTGGGCCCTCCCTGGTGGCGCAGCGGGTTAAAGCACTGCACTAAGGAGCTTAAGCCACTTCCGCATCTGCCCCGGAGGTGACCACGTGGCCAGTCAGACTCTCCTGACCGCCCGCTGCTCCCCTCAGCAGTGGACTTCGTCGATCTGCCTGCTCTGCTCCCCATTCTGTTCCTGGTGAATCCTCTCACCCTCGGGCATCTCTGGCCTGTACCCCAGTTCTGTATGAATAAATAAATCTTAAAAAAAAAAACAAAAAACTGAAGTCCTAATCCAGGTCCAGTCCTGCCGCTGCAATCTTCCCGTCTCTGAAACGTGGCACTGTCAGGATAGGGAGGTGTCCTCCGCCCGGGGAGGGAAGGGCAGGGAGGCTGCCTGTGTCTGCAATCCTCCTGGCTCAGGGCTGAGGTTCCGCCAGGCTCCAGGCCCTGCCTCCCAGGCCCTCTGCCTTTGCTCCTTGTTTCCATCCTAGTCGCCAGCCCCCACCCCTTAAGGGCAGCAAGTCTCCCTTGACCACTGACCCTCTTCTTCACCTGTTATCTGCTTTGGTTTTGTCTCATGTTAGGCGCTCACCGTCGGACCAAAGCTGAGATCGCAGCTGCAAAGCAGCTTCCTGCCGGGCTCGGACAGGGCCCGATGCAGCTCGGTGCCCAGCAGGGTGTACCAGACACCTGGCCGGACCCAGGCACAAGACAGTCCAGACATTTCCGACTCTCCGGCCTCCCCGCTGGGGCACGAGGCCCTTGAGTCCAGATCCTGGAGGCTTCAGGTCTACAGGGCAGCAGGGGTGTGGCGCGGGCTCGCCCAAATGGCTGTAGAGGCCCCCCACCTCAGACTCCTGCAGCTTCCCACTGCGCTCCCCTGTGAGCCCCAAAACTCTTTTTATCCCTGACAAACCAAGACTGGGAAACTTCTGTACCTGGTCTCCAGGTCATTCAACTTTGTGCACCCCTCCATGCATAGTTAATGAAAAGCAATGAAGCCGCCTGTCATCAACCCCAGGCATAGTTAACACCTCTCTTCCTACCACAAACCTGAAGTTTGCTGGAAACCTATTTTATTTCTATTAGGTCACATGATACAAAAAGAGTGAGAATATTCAAGGGCACTTGGTGAAACCAGGCCTCGCTCCCCAGGGCCGCAGGGAAGGAGACAGAGGGGAGGCCGAAGAGCAGGGAGGCTGCACCTGGGGACCCCCCGCTTGCACGCCCAGCCAGCCTGCAGCCGGCACCGTCCCGAGGGAGACAGGGCCCTCGGGCTGGGAGGCTGGCAGAGTCCCTGCCTCCAGACGGCCAGATGTCCACCGCGGGGACATTCAGAGAGACTGGCGATCCCCTTCATGATGATAAAAACACAGTCCCTACTTGCCGAAGGTAAGCGGGCTCAGGACACCGGGAGCACTGTCTCAAAGCAGGGGTGGGCCTGGCCCCGGAGAAGCAGGTTATACTTCCTCCCCACCCCCACCAGGAGACAAAGCAGAGCCCTTCAATGCCTGTGGCCATCCCAGAGCTGGGAGGAGCCCGAGGGGAAGCCAGGGTTGGGCAGGCCCTCGCTGGGGGGTCCAGCTTCCCGCCATGTCCCAGGGGGAGGGCCTGGTGTGGGACTTGTCTGCCCAGTGGGGCCCAGGAGTAGCCACTGCACTCCTCAGGAGGGCAGCCGCTGAGGCTGGGGCCTTCCTCAAGCAGCTCCACAGCCACAGGCATGACAGAGCAGGCCCAGGGACAGCCCCTCCCAACCCAAGCCTGGCAGAAGGCGCTTTCCTAGCCGTGTCCCCTGCTGGACAGGTCTGAGTGGGGGGCCTGCCTAGCTCCCCTAGTTCCCTCCAGCCAGGAAGGGAGAGGTGTGGCTCCTGCCCCCAAGAAAGTGGCCCAGCACAGCCTGCGGTGGGATGTGACATGATCACCACAGTCCAGGGGACAGCAGAGCCCTGGGGTCAGCCACCTGCTGTCAGAGCTGCCTGGGCCTGCAGAGCAGGGGATGCCGCCTGTCCCGAGGGGCACAAAGGCACGTCCCTGGGTGGGAAGAACTGGCCAGATGGTTCTGAGAGAGCAGCGGGGCCCAGAGCCTGGAGGGCGTTTAGTGGCAAAGGGGTCCCGCAGGATCCAGGTCAACTCTGCACAGCGCAGCCCTGGTTCCAGGCCCAGAAGTCAGCTGTCCGGCCATGAGGTAGTCCCCCGCCCTGTGTCCGCAGGAGGGCAGTGCAGGCCCGGTCTGGGTGGTGCGGGAGTCCACCTCCGGCCCGCACTGCCGCCTCAGCCCTGCTCCAGGCTGTCAGCGGGCTGCACCACGGTGTAGCTGCCCTGGCCCACGGATAGCTGCCGGCTGAAGAAGGACGTGGTCCGCTTCGGTCTCACCCGCCTGATGTGGTCACCTGTCAGGGACAAGGCGGAGGTCCTGTCGGGGCGAGGCGGAGGGAGGGCTCCCTGCTTACCCGACAGCTCTCCATCTCAGCCCCACACCCCACTGGGAACAGGATGGGGGGCTTGTGGCCAGCCCCGAAACCTGGGGCCAAATCCGGCTGTGGGTCTGAGGGCTCTGGCTGAAGCCTGGGCAAGGAGCAGCAAAGCAAAGCCCCGCGCCTTCGCCTCAGGCCGCAAGCCAGCCGCCCAGGGAGGTGCCGGCATCACAGGGGCCTGCTGGCACCGCCCCGACTGGCGTCATGGAAGCGCGCTCTCTAAGCCCAAGTCCACAACCTGGGCCAGCCACGGAAAAACGCCAAAGGGGCAACCTACAGTCTCTCTGACCAGTGCTCCTTTTCAAGGTCATGAAAGGCAAGGAAAGCCCGAGAAACCGGCACAGGTGAGAGGAGCCTGGAGCCCAGCCACTGAGCGGGTGTGGCCTGGGTGGCCCGAGGGGCACACTAAGGAGTGTTGCCTCAGTGATCGGAGCAAACACGCCAGTGTCACGCATGCTGTTACTTCAAAAAATAAGCCACGAGAAAAACAGGCAACGAGATACATGGGCAGGAACGCATGGAGGAGACATCAAAGGGCTCGCCCTCGAGACTGGCCGGCCTCGGGGCCAGCCCGTCCTCCCCTCCGCCAGGGGCGGCGCCAGGGGCGAGGGTGCAGAGGGCCTCCCTCCTGGGAGTGGGCGCCAGCGGGCACCCCTGGGCCCAGCAGCCCTGCCTTCCTGGAGCGCTTCCCGAGGAAAATGGTTTGGAGCCCAGGCCAGGGTCCAGCCCCACGGGAACGCTGCGCGCCAGAGCCGAGAACCACGCTCGAGCGGCAGGAAGGGCGGTCACGCCGCACGAGCCACGCCGGCAGGCTGCTGCGAAACGTCATTTCGCTCTTTCCAGTGGGGAAACGGCCACTGGTCAAAAGTGGAAGGGCACGAGGAAGCACCAGGACAGTCACAGTGACGGTGACGCCGGTCTCCCTCCTGACCGGCGGGAGGTGCCGAGGGCACCCTGCCACTGCAGCGGGCTCTGAGGCTGCATCACAGAAGCGCCCCCTCTGCTCGGGGAACTCGGTCTCCAGGAAGCTGAGAGCTGAGAGCCCGCCAGGCGCCGCCCGACGTGGGCGAGTCCCGTGGCCGCCCGGCGTCTGTCCAGCCGAGCGGCAGCCCTGACCGGCCTCCTGCCGGCCCCGTGGGGCTCCCCGTCTCCCACCCGGGGAGGCTCCGCGCTGCGCGTAGGGGGCTGCACGGATGCCGCTGGACGGGCCCCTCTGTGCCCACCTGAGTAACGGACAGTGGAAGTTTCTAGATTTTCACGTTCGCGTCTCTGCGGCAGAGAGGGACAGGGAAGGGCTACGATGGCCGGCGCCCCAGAGGCCTCCGCCCCATCACCGAGTGCACGTGCCTGCACACGCCGTGCGTGTGGGCACCGTGAGGCCTCTCACCGTCCTCCACGTAGTCGATGGTGGAGAGGTGCTGCAGGCGGCTGCACACCACGCTGTCCTGCCTCCGCAGCTGGGGGCGCGGGGGGGGAGCTGGCGGGCAGCCCGGCGCTGGGGCGGCGCTCCCCTGGGGGGCGGCGGGCTCTGCAGCCTGGCTCAGCTCGATGCAGTACTCGATGAGGCTGCTCATCAGCTCGGCCTGCGGCGGAGAGGAGAGGGTGTGAGGCCCGAGGGCGCCCCCCTTCCCCGTCGCCCCCAGAGGACGCCCCCCTGTGGGGGGCAGCGGAGCAAACACAAGGACGGCAGCACGGAGGGCCGGGGCGGGGGCGTCCTGGGGTGACCCCAGGGCATGCTGGTAGCTGGGAGCCCCAGGCCTGGGACGGGGAGCGGAGAGCACACTAGTCAGGAGGCGCCACCGGGCTGGTGCCCGGGGGGCCATTTGTGAAGCTGGGCAGAGAGGAGACGGGCGAAGGAGCGGCTGATCATCTGAGTGCCCACGAGGTGGCACGGGCCAGGGACGGGTGGACTACGGGGCTTCCCTGGGCACGATACTTAAACATGACGCCTTCCCACAAATTTAAAACACTGTGTTGACGGGACCTGCCCTGAGGCTGTGGCACCGTCTGGGGCCACAGGTCACCCAGGGGCCGGGCAGAGCCAGCCAGAAGCCGCTGGCAAGTCCCTGGTCAGGCCACACACTCGGTCCTCCCCAGGCCGGCGCCTCCGCGGGCAGCAGGCTACCGGGGACGGGGCACACGGCGCCTCGTGTCCCAAGGGAAGCCACCGGGGAGGCGGGGTCAGGCGTGCTGCTCCGGGGCAGCCCGAGGACTCCCCAAAGCGACACGGCCCGCCGGGGGGCCGCCCCGAAGGAAGCGCCTGCGTCCTCCCCCACCTCCTCCTCTTCTCACTGGGGGACAGGCGAGCGCTTAGTGGGCTGGTGGGGCAGAGGGCCCCGAGCTGCGTAACGGGGAGCTCGTTACGACCTGAGACAGCTCCCGGCTTCCGAGGCCCAGGGCACCCACCAGAGACGGGCCACGTTCCACAAGTCAAGTCTCAGCACTGTGAGGCGATCGGCGGCCACCGCAGCACGAGTCTGATCCCGGCAGGAGGGGCCCACAGGCGCGGCAGGCCCCTCCTGTCCCCCGCTGCCCCCTCGGCCGTGGGTTTCAGTAGGTCCACCTGTCCAGCTCCCCACTCTGTCTCTGGGGAGTCCTCTCACTTCCCCACCTCTGGCCTGCACCCCAGTTCTTATATGCACGAATAAAATAAATCTTGGAAAAAAAGAGCCACTTTCGACTAAATTCAACACCCACTGGCGGCCAACCTGCAGAGCAGGGCGGGACGAGAAGGCGTCGGCCGGAAGCGCCACACCACAGCCAGCACCGCGCTGCTGTGTGGGCCGAGCGCCTCCCCGAGGGGCTCAGACCTCCCTGGCCTCATGCTGGGCAACAGGCGCTTGGGCAGTGAGAGGCACACGCCGTGACACAGAAAGTGGATGAAACGGGCTTCCTCAAAGCCAGAAACACCTCAAGAGACGCTCTTAGGAAAACGAAAGGCAGGTCTTGGACCGAGAGGAAACGTGCAAAAACGCGGTAACCCGCCGAAGGAGTGACAGCGGCGGGGCCCACGCCTCACTCAGGCGACAACCCACCCCGGAACGGGCCAGCGAGGTGCGGACGCCGCTGGAGACGCTGCAAGGGCGCAAAAGCTCGGCACAGGTGAGGCGGCACAGGTGAGCCGGCCCGGAAGCCACAGGGTGGCGCCCG